TTTTGCTACCAAAAGAGTAAAGAAATAATTTTTTGTGCATGTTTTCCAAAAAAATACATTTGAATCTATAAAGGCAGTCGAAATTAATGAAAAAGGCATACTACTTAAGTATTCACTTTTTATAGTACATGCTTTGTCTTGGCGGTCAGAAAGAAGCTCGTTAGAAAGCCGGCACCCTGAAGTGTCTAAAATATATTGAAATTATGCTGTATGCTCATCTCTATTACAACCATCCGCAATTAATATGTTCCAATCGAAAACTTATTCAGAATTCCGGTAGGCAGTGCATGAGATAGTGAATGTACTGTACGCCTAAGATCAGTTAAAAAATTTGAAACATCTTTTCCCAGATATAAATTTTAAGATTGCGTATCTAGCAGGATTTAATGGAACCATACATTTCGCGAGCACTCATCAGCTGCATCCACTCGCTGCATAAACTGAGTAACGAATGAGAAAAGATAGAATCGAATTCATACAGAAAATCGATACAAAAACATCAAGGTCACAAGAATTGGCCAAGGGGCAATCAATAAAGTAAGAAATTTAAACGCTGTGGGCAGTAAAAAACGATGTAAAAACGTCTAAGGCAAAAAAGGTTGGGAAGGGGAATGTGTGAACAGGGAGCTGGTTCCATTAAATTCTGCTATATACGCAATCTTCAGTTAAAAAGTTTTATTTAACAAGTTACCTCTGGAATTAGCGCTTTCAGTAGATATTTTGGCGTAAACCATCTGCGTTATTTGCCTTTTTCGAAGATAAAGTCAGGATAAGAATGGCCAAGTGTGACCGGGTTTTACACTTCCCTGAGTATTAGGAATAAAAACTCTGCTGAAAATGAAAGAACTAACTTTTCTGTGTATATTGGAGCAGTTTTCAGTATGTTTATGTACGTTTAAGTCTCGTTCTAAGATTGAAATAGAACAACGGAGTTGCAGAATATATAGTGCGATTTTACGAAAATTGGGAATCTTCTGCCCATTCCGTTTAAGTTTCCCTATTCGCCCATACTGAACTGTAAATAGAAAACATTTGGACATCTAGTGCCTACGGCTCGAAAGAGAAAAGTAACGGCAAGTCTCGACTATTTATATGCATTTGCTCGTTTACGATCGTTATTTTGAGAAGAAGAAGAAGAAGAAGAAGAAGAAGGATCATCGAACACTGGAATCATTATTTTATTAGCCTGAGCTTTCGGGCTCCTGCAGGAGTCCGTCGTCAGAGATGGGAAAGAACAGCAACAAATGAGGTAGCTAGTTCTGGCATGTGTTAGGCTGAACGAAACCCTTTTCTAGGAAACAGTTTTTGCGCCCGAAGTCTTTTGAGTAAATAAACAAAGCAACCTCAAATGTGTGTTAAACACTCGTCTCAAATGCTGATCTTCACGTTTCATGAGTTAGGCCAGCTACTGTATATCCAGACCCTTCTAGTTGGGTTGTGATTCAGGAAAAATGTATTTGAAAAGTCTAATTGGCAGACATCCGTTTTTGGCAATTCATAATCGGGCCTATACAACTGC